ACTAAAATTATTTGCCCTGAAACAATTTTCATAAAGAAATCTGATATCTTTGTTAAGTGCAAAATAAATGAAAATTTCTACCAAAATTCTTAATATAGCATTAATTGGGTTAGATTACATTTTTGAATAAAGAAATTGAAGGCAGCTAGGTAAGGCTATTTTCTTGCTCTTTTTCTAGCTTAGCTTTCAGAGTTTCCCTATCTTCCCTTGAAAATATGTTCTGGCTTACACAAGTCAGTTATTCTGACTTTTTAAAAAATTAGTGTGTATCTGCAATATAGGATAGTGATGTCTGCTGTGAGGAATTGATACACACATGTAACATATCTGGAACATTTGCAATCCCTTTACCTTGACACCCCCCAAAAATCCGCTTTCTAGTTTTCTATCATCTCTCATTTATTTATTTATTTGACTTCTCATATAAGAGAAGCCATGTGATATTTAGTTTACTGTGTCTTATTTTGCTTCCCATGACCATATCATGTTCCATCTATTTTCCTATAAAGGACATAGCTTTACTCTTCTTTATGGCTGAATAATATTTCACTGTGTATATATAAGTCACATTTTCTTTACCCATTCATCTGTTGACAGGCATTTAGGCTGTTTCCAGAGCTTAGCTATTGTGAAATTCACTGCTATAAACATGGGTATGCATATATCACTATAGTATAATGTCCTTAATTCTTCTGGAAATTCTTTTAGGAAAGGCATAGTTTAATCAAATGGAATTTCCATTTTTAGTTTTTTGAGGAAGTTCATTTGATTTCTGTAGTAACTGTACTAGTTTACATTCCCATCCACATCCTTACCAGCATTTATTGGTTTGTGTGTGTGTGTGTGTGTGTGTGTGTGTGTGTGTGTGTGTGTTTGACAATAACCATTTTGACGACAGTAAAATAGAATCTCAGTTATTTTGACTTATATTTCCCTAATGGCTAAATATGTTGAACATTTTTTCATATACTTGCTGACCATTTCTATTTCTTCTAATGAGAAGTGCCAATTCAGTTCATTTGCTCACTTTTGACTGGGTCATTTATTTTGGGGGGGGGTTAATTTTTTTGCGTTATTTATATATTCTAGATAATAGTTCTCTATGAAAGGAATAGCTAGCAAAAATTTTCTCCCAGAACAAGATAATAGGAAATTCTGTATCATTTTTATTGTTTTTGTGGGTTTTTTTTTTTGTCTTTGTTGTTGTTATTTTGGCTTTTTTTCTCTTTAAAATAAAATAAATTTTCTCTAATTCTGTAGGTTGTCTTTTCACTCTATTGATAATTTCCTTTGCTGAGCAGAAGTTTTCTTAAATTTGATTTAGCCCCATATATTGAATCATTCAGAAAGTCTTCTGTAACTATAGCTTCAACTGTTTCATCTATCTTATCATCCAGAAACTTCAAAGTTTCTATTTCTGTATCTAGATCTTTTACCTATTTTTATTTGATTTCAGTACAAGGTGAGAGATAGGGATCAAGTTTCAATCTTCAGCACATGGATATGCCATCTTCCCAGCTCCATTTGTCAAAGAAGCTATCTTTTCTCGTCTGTTTTTTGGTTTTTTGTTTTTGTTTTTTCCGCTACCAGGAATCAAACTCATAACCTCGCGCTTGCCAGGCAGGCGCTGTGCCGCTGAGCTAAATCCCCAGCCCCAAGCTATCTTTTCTCAACATATAATTTTGGCCTTTGTCAAAAGTCAGATTGGTGGAGATGTTTTCTGTACTTTCAATTCTATCCTATCAGTCTACATTTTTGTTTTTGTGTTAGTAGCATGTCATTTTTATTACTATAACTTTGTAGTATACCTTGAAATCAGGTATTATGATGCCTTAAGCTTTGCTTTATTTGCTCAGGATTGCTCTGGCTCTTCTGGGTCTTTTCTGATTGTAGATGAATGTTGGGATTGTTTTTTCTACTTTTGTGAAGAATACTGATATTTTAATAGAGATTGAATTAGGTTGCTTTTGGTAGTATGGACATTTTTATATAGGACAACCCTCAAGGTTTTAAGTAGGTATAAAGCAAACAACCATAAAGATTTCACTATTAATCATTGAGTATCTAGAGCACAGAGACATTAAAATGAGAAGCTGAAGACCATGTGTTTTAGAGTAGAAGTATTTAATATCACCACAATCACTCTCTATAGACTAAATACAACTTCTACAGAGAGTACATTTTTCACTTAGAAATGGTAGCTCTTACTATTTCCATTTTATGGATGGGGAAACAGGTTTTGAGAAGTAGCTTGCTTATACCTATAAAGTGGGTACATGGTGGAACAGGGATGAAGCTTAGCTTATTATACTTGCACCCTCATGAAAGGAGATGGAGCATGGGCATATGCATTAGCACCTGGGTGCTAAGACTCCAAAATGGTTCCCAAGTAGGGTCCATGGGACTAGGGCTTCTATGATTTAATTTGAGGGAATTTGTTTTATTATGAAGTTATATGTAAAATTTCCTATGTGGACATATAAACATTTCTAGAGAAACAGTTTAGAGCTTTCAACAGATTCTTAAAAATATTTATGACAAAAAAAAAAATCAAGAACCTGTTAGATCATTTTGGTAGGGAGTTAATTGTTTAAGATAATGTTATATTAGCTATTATAGTCCTAACTAGAAGATCTGTCAAATAACAATTAAGAAGCGATTACTGAGAGGCAGTGTATATAAGCATGTATGGTAGGTATATAAATATCACAATTATATATTGTGGCATTTTAGACTCTCTACTTTTTAAAAATGAAGGTCAAGCCATCATTGAATATGACCCAGTAAAAATGCCAAAGACTAGTAAATGAGTGGGAGGTGGCTGCTGCTGAGCCCCCCAGCCTGGGCATGCCGAGGCGGGGCTGTGGGGAAAGAAAGAACAGTCAGTGATGGTAGAAATGTCTGTTAATAGTGACTGAATTCTACTGGAGTAACTTTATGTCGGCAGAGTTTCCTATGCTATAATGATGTAGGTAAAATTAATTTAGAAGTACAAACTAAGAAAGATACTTCATTTGGAGGTAGTAAGGATATTGAGCTACATGAAATAATTCTGTGCTTCTATTTCTGGATGACTAACATGAGTTGTTTTCTTAAGGAGGGAATGAGGGAGAAACTTTTTAAGTTGTTATCCTTTTAGCTTTTGTAAAAATATTGCTTTCAACTCCTCATGCAGTGTATGGACAACGTGTTAGCATTTATGTGCTGGGATGACATTCAGTCATACTCCAACACAACTGCACCGTTAATAAATTACTGAAATACTTCTATATAGATTGGTACGGCAATTAAGTGGCATAATTGATATAAATAACAATGTGAACTCATTAGTTCAAATTAATTACCACTGAATAGCAAAACTACTGGTACTTGAGACTCCTGCCTTATATGACTTGGTTGATATTACAAGTATACATGACTAATGAATATACACACTACTGATACGGACTGACATTGAATATATAATAATTTCAAATATTACAAATGCTGAGAGGATTTAGAACTATGATAATTTCTTTTTGTTTGTTTGTTTTTGTTTTTTTCTCTGGTACCGGGAACCGAACTCACGACCTTGCGCTTGCCAGGCAGGCGCTTTTGCCTCTGAGCTAAATCCCCAGCCCCGATAATTTCTTTTTACATTGAGAGAAGTGCTATTTATTGCAACTATCTAAGGATGTTATCCTGCATGAATGATGGATGAAGGTAATGAGACATCGCAGTGGTGCAGGCATACACACTGACAGCCTCCATGTGGGGGAAAAGAGACAATCGGGGCCTTAAGGAGGAAGGGAGAAGGTGGCGTCATTGAGCTCTGGATCCTGGCCATGTGAGAAGGTCTTGTATTTGGTTACATACTGAGTCTTGGCTGGGGACAATCTGCTCTCTGGCTGTAACAAAGTGGATCGCTGCTTTTCAACCTATGTATTAATTAGTGCTTTTAAACATATGTATTAATTGGTAATATATTGGTGTTTTATGTCTTTAAGAAACAGGAAAAAGAAAGCCAGCTGCTATTTTCCTTGTTTTGATTCTGGCCTGTTTTCCCTTTCAAACTTCCCATATTACAAGTGAGTAACCATGAAAGGACACTTCCTTAAAGTTTCGAGGATTCAGCGAATCTGACCGAACTATCTATACAATCAGATAACTAGAGAACTTTGGACAAGGATCTGATAACTACAAAATCTATACTGACTGAATGCAGAGGATTCCAGGATTTTCATGATTCATATTTGGTCTTCAGTTTTAGGTGTCCCTGTGAATTTGCAGGATGCTCTTTCAGTGGCTGCTATGGCTATAAATTAATGTTTATAAAGTTAAGATTCAAGCTCTATCAAACTAAACTTTAAACAGAAGAAACATATTTATAGCAGTCAACCAACATTAAGCAACCTAAAATATAAATGTATAATACCAGGGAGGAGAAATGGCAGTAAAAGTTGGAAGCACATCTTCCCCAACTTAAGCACAACCAAAGCTTAGATCCGGGTGCCAGTTTGCAAGACTGAACACAGTTACGAAGGATGGTAACTGGTCCCCAGCATCTGTTTGTTCCTTCCCACATAAAAGAGAATTACAGCCCTGAGCCTAAGGGAAGAGTAAGACAAGAAGAAGCAGAGGGTCTCAGACTTTGAACTGCTTCAGTCCAAGCCAATACCACAAAGGGGCAAGAGCGTTCCATTATTAATCATCGTGTGAAAACCCAATGGTTAGGACATGCAGAAGATGGCACTTCTGCAACCTTCACATTAACTATGTCTACAGTTTTAAAATATAAGTGAATATTCTGTGACCTATGCAGTCTTCACCTGTTTTTCTTCTTGATTTTCCCTCTAAATGTACTAGTTCCTCATCCAAATTTTATTTTCCTTCTTTAACCCTTCTCTTTCTGACACCAAACCCACCTTAAGCAAGAGTACGGTTTATAACTTTATATGTCCACAGGAGAATGGGCAACGAGGAGGGGAAAAAACTTTAAAAATGGGTTTGCCAGCACTCACCATCAGAGGGCACAACAGTACTGCAATAAACAACTCCCAGATTCTGCCAGGAAGAGAGCCTCTGGTGCACCTATGAAAGCAAAAGACATCCACTGTTAGGACAGAACCACAAATGTTATACCCATAAATGTGCACAAGAAAAAAAGTATATATGTAAAACGTATTCTTTGTAGAAAAGTTTAAAAATACAGGCAAAAGAAAGATATTCTAACTTCTGACATGCTCTTAATGGTAAATTCTATGGTGTGTTTTCAAGATTATTTATAAACACATTTGCATACACATATAGAAATATAAGCCTGGCACAGTGGCACCTGCCTGAAATCCCACCACTTGGGAGGCTGAGTCAGGAGGATCACTGTGAATTTGAGGCCAGCCTGGGCTACATAGAGACTCTGTCTCAAAACAAACAAACAACAAAAAGTGTACAAAAATTGATATTAAACAAAATTAGAGCTACAACTAATAAATCTTTTCTTTAAATAACGTCTAAAAACAATATTGGCTTTAAGTGCCATTGAGTCTAAACTAAATTTTTGTGCTTCTTACTCTTGCCAGCTTACACCTGTACTTCCTTCCTATCTTTAACCAGGTACAAGATAAGGACTAGGCAGCTGTGTCTTGAATTTCCCATTATCTGGGTAGGCATGGGTCTTTCTGTTCACCCTCTGTGAACCTTAGTCCTTGAGTCTTCAACCACCACCACCTTTAAGGAAATTACACACCCACGTCCATTTTTACCACTTCCTCAAAGCGTGGTGTCACTGTGGTTATGGGGCTGGAATATTACTAAATACATATTACTAATACATATTACTAAATATGTATTAAATATGTACTACCTATTACATAGTGAGACATAATCTGGAATTTAATAATACACATAATTAAACTTGGTATCAAACTGAAAACTGCATACATTTGACATGCCAAATACCTAATCTATTCCTTCGTACCTTTCACTTTGCCAGCACCAAAAAGTATCAAAGAGGGGCTGGGGATTTAGCTCAGCGGCAAAGCGCCTGCCTGGCAAGCGCAAGGTCGTGAGTTTGATTCCCGGTACCGGAGAAAAAACCAAAAAAAAAAAAAAAAAAAGTATCAAAGAAGGCAAAGTATTAACTGACTAAAACCAGCACATATGCCTCAGAGCTTGTTACCTTCTGCTACTTCAGCCTGAAACAAATTACTTGTGACTATACGCCAATTCACACCTTCATGGATGTGGTACACTTACATCCTTTATGTGAATACCATGAATCCCCGCATCCTTCCAAATCAAGAGTCGGCAGAAATGTGAGAAATAAAAAATTTATTTTTTAAATGTAAATAAACCATTTACATGTTACTTGAAATTTGGTCCAGAGCTAGTTTGGTTTTTCCAGTTTAACTCTTTATTAGGAATTGATGTTAGTCAAAATTAAAAAGTAGAAATCCAACGAATTTCCCTGTAAAAATAACACAGCTGTCCCACAGAATGAATAATTCTTTTCCTTACTCATTTGAAATGCTATCTTGATAATGAATTTGGATCTATTTCTGAACCTACATTCTGACCAACAATCTATCTGCTCATGCCCTAGTAAACATACTGTTTCAACAAACAGTTTTGTAACATATTTAAATACCTGAAAAAAAAAAGAAAAAATTAAATACCTGATGTTTTCCATTACCAGATTTAAGAATGTTCCTAGCTAGTTATGCTTGTTTCTCCATACAAATTAGAGTCAGTTATCTAGCTGCATACACATGCACATAAAATCCTGTTAGTGTCAAGAAACAGAATAATGTAGCAGTTGAAAGCCCAAAATCTGAAACCATGCTGTTAAAGTTGACGCTGTAGTTCAGCAACCTACTCTAACTGCAATCTTGGGCAAGTTCATCAGCCTTGTTGTGTCTTGGTTTCTACACTGGAAAATGGACAGCCAGGCATGGTGGTGCATGCCTGCAATCTCAGCACCCGAGAGGCTGAAGCAGGATTGCTACGAGTTTTGAGGCCAGCCTGGGCTACCAAATGAGTTCAAGGCCAGCCTGAACTGCATAGTGAAAGTGTATCTCAAAAGGACTTTTAAAAAGACAGCCCACCCCAAACGGGACCAAGAGTAATATTAACACCTACTACATAAAGACTGAGTAATACACATAAGGCATGTAGAACAATGACTGGCACTGAGTACATGCTCCACAATCACGAGTGAGTGTTTTACGTTGAGCTCATATTAAACGCATACATTAATATAGAGGGAAGTAATAGCTATATAATTTTGCATCTTTTTAGACTTGATTCTTTTTTTCTGTCTGAACTTAGCATGTTTCTTTTTTTAACTTATTTTTTTATTTTAAAGAGAAAAGAGAACAAAATAATAACAACCAAGAAAAAAACAAAACAACACAAAAACAATAAAAATGATACAGAATTTCAAAACAAGGAGATAGGAAGTTAACAATGGTTGTTATAGTACACATTGTTATATTCAACTAAGTTGCTCAGATTACTAGATATAATAATGCAAAATTGATCAAACAATTAAAGACAATAAAAATAATTAAAAAATGAGAAATGATACAGAGGTTCACTAATCAAGATAGGAGGGATTCAACAACGGTTGCTGTATTGCATACTGTCTTCAAATTAGTTGTTCACATTACCAGATATAATCATGCAAAATTGGTCAGAAAAAGAAAAGTTTAAGCATTCACTGTTCCCTTCAATAAATCAACAGACATTAGCAGTACAATTATACCAGCTATCCTTGTATAACCATATATTTATTTCCTTCCTTCTTTCTTTCCTCCTTTCCCTCATCCCAGTAGTTCCTTCCCTCTGAGCAACTTCTTTCCCTTTCACAATATCTATTGTACCTTTTGGGTTTTCTTTACTTGTTCAGGTTCTTACCCTAGGCAGACAATAGGATGTTTACACATGTGGGTCTGATTTATAATTTACTTTTTTTTTTTTTTTTGGTTTTTCTCCAGTACCGGGAACCGAACTCACGACCTTGCGCTTGCTAGGCAGGCACTTTGCCGCTGAGCTAAATCCCCAGCCCCTTATAACTCACTTATGAATATAGTCTCTAGGTGCATCCATTTTCCTATAAAAGCCTCAAGATAATCTTTTTTTATAGCTGAATAATATTCCATTGTATAAAAAACTACATCTTTTTTATCCATTTCTCAGTTGATGGGCATTTGGGTTGTTTCCAAGATTTAGCTATGACAAATTGCACTGCTATAAACATGGGTGTACATATATCACTGTGGTATGATGTTTTCCGTTCTTCTGGAAAAATACCCAGAAGGGGTCAAATGGGACCTCTCATCCTAGTTTTCTGAGGAATCTCCACACTGATTTCCATGGTGGTTGTATTAGTCTACACTCCCACCAACAGTGGAGAAGGATTCCTTTTTCTCCGCAGCCCCTCCAGAATTTGCTATTGGTTGACTTCTTGATGATGACCATTCTTTCTGGGGTGAGATAGAATCTCAATGTTTTGTCAATTTGCATTTCTCAAATGACCAATGATGCTGAACATCTGTTCATATATTTATTTGCCACTTGTATTTCTTCATTTGAGAAGTGCATATTCAACTCAGATGCCCATTTCTATACTGGGTCTTTGAATTTTGGGAGCCTGATTTTTTAAAAATTCTTTATATGCTCTAGATAGAAGTCCTTTGTCTGAGGGGCAGTTGGATCAATTTTTCCCAATTCATTGATTTTCTTTTTACTCTGTTGGTGATTTCTTTTGATGTGCAAAAACTTTTCAATAAGATGAGATCTCAATTGTTGATTCTTTGAAGTATTTCCTGTGCAGTTTGGTTTCTGTTTATGAACTCTCTCCCTACCCCAATGTCTTTAAGATTTCTAACTACTTTCTTCTCCAGTAGATTTAGTGTTTCTATTTTAATATTTAAACCTTGATCCATTTTCACTTTATTTTAGTGCATGGCAATAGACAGGAATCTAGTTTTAGTCTTTGGGGTACGGAAAGTCAGTTTTTCTAGCACCATTTATTAAAGGGGTATCTTTCCTCCAGTGAATAGGTTTGGCCCCTTTGTCAAAGGTAAGGTAATTGAGTGTGTTTGTAGTTATGTCTGCATCTT